ATGACATCCTCCTGTCTAATATGAGAACTGGGTTAATAGCTATCTATTAATTAATGCAATTTTATATGGATAAGGAAAAGAGTTACTTCTCGAAAGAAAAAAAATTTTATTACATGCTTCTTTACATTTCACAAGTAGTTGAGCAAAAAAAAAAAAATTGCAAGAAAACAATTTTTTTTTTCATTAATGAAAATTTTTTTTTTGCATAAAGTTTTGTTGCTTATGTATTACACGACGGTATTGTCACGAAAATAATATGCTTGATTAAATGCATTCTTAACGGTTGAAGTTAAATGGTGCTCTACCTGTCGACGTCGCACGGTAAAGTCGCGTTATACAGATGGCGATTGGCGACAAGAGTCGCAATAACTTGCGGAACACTTTACGTGTAAAAGGATCTAAGACAAAAATGTCAGAATGAAACTTGGTATACAAGACTTAGTTTGAGAACAGTTTATATGCAGAGCATTTAGAAGAGGGCTGCTAAAATCCAACAAATCGATGATAAGCACTTAACAACGAGAAATTTTGAATCGAAACGTAGAATAGAAAAAAGTCATCTTACCCAAAAATATAACAATAATGATAGTAATGGTGACTCTGTTTACATCGCTTACTCTGTTACATTGCTCGGTTAATGAAAACTTATCGTAGACTAAGTAACATAACACTTAATTCGATTACCCCTCTCTGTTTTCACATAACCAAATTTAGATGGAAACGTTGCTGAGCTAAATGTGAAATAATCTCGTGCACAACTCGTGTAAACACTTGCGTCAACCTAGTAAGAGGCAGATATTCGTTGTTATATGAATCAAAGTGAAATGAAATGCATGTTGAATTAATCGACAGGTGATGAAATTTAAGTATAAGAGTCTTAGCGACACAATCAATATACCATTCTTGTTTGCAGTTAAGTAACAAGTTAATAGAAAAGGAAGACTGAAGCGAAACTTTGGTAGGCAATAAAAACTTGTATGTGATATAAATGTTTCTATCGTTCTAGCCATTTCCGTGGACGATGTGAAATAATTTTCAATTAGCAAATGTTACTACTTATCGAAAGGGAATATATTTTGTATTTCAGGATAGGAGTTCGTATACCAAACGGAAAACTGAGGCAAATGTTTGCCCGAAAAGGAAAAATAGGTTGATGACGGTCAACAGATTTTGAAGGGATATGATGCCGAGCATTTGTTTCATAATCTACTAAGACTGTTAAGACTTCATTCTAATAAGAAACAAGACACCAACCCGAAATCCGGCTTTCTTATCGCGATTTGCTACTGCCAGCCATCAAGCCTAATGAAATAGTTGAAACGATTACGGCGGCTGCATGTGTTCTGTTAAAGGTACACTTAGTCAAAACAATTTCAAACAAAGGAATGTATTTCGAGTTTCTGGCGATGAACGGAATGACTTATTGCACAATTCGTCAATTCCAACTCTAAGTCTTCGCTGCACAAATGCAGCTTCCTGATAAGCAGCCGCCGAAAATCGAGCACACAATGACATTCGAGAAGATGATGGCTGTTATGTTCCGGGGGAGGTGTGAAATCGTTCTTAACGCCTGTCTAAAAAATTTAAATAAAGAACACTGTATGAATCTTGTCGATATTTTTACTGCCAAGATTCCCGCCATAAAGTTAAATTTTGTCAAGCAGAATTCGGCAACGGTGTGCGATGGGCCGTACTTTATGGGTGTCTATATACATAGTTATTTGAACTTGGGTTCGCTTGGTAGTACTTTAAGCCTAAAACTATTGTACATTGTTAGCTTTAACTTTGACCTTTGCTTTTGATCGATATCCATTCCCATAATTTCATAGTTATAAGCCTTCGAATTTATTGGTTTAAGTCCAAATAAATTATATACTGTTTACCTTAATTTTGCTGTTTGCTTGCGGTCTATAATCTTTTCTATAATGTTGTAATGTAAACCTTTAATCTCAATAGTGTTGCTTATTCGGCTGAATGTATATGCCAGCCACAAATGAATGTAATAGTTTGCATTATTATACCTTGGAGCGCTTGGGTGTTTCAAAATAAACCCATCTTTTATTATACTGATCGATCCAGAGTTACTTTTTGAATCGAACCAAACTTACTTATTCGTTCGTCCGGCCTAGTGTTCAAGCGACAATCCGCAATTTTTGCGATGTTTCGAAGATATTTAGTAGGCAGACCGGTTTTGAACCAAGCACGAACACTACTGAAAATTGTGCGCACTGCATCATTTCTTCGACCATTTCCCGCTACTCTAAAAGCCTCTGAAGGCGTGGCCTACTATAATGCTTCTGGTTGATGTTATTTTTGACAATAATTTTAAGTTTTAAAGTTCTGCTAATGCGCCTTTCAATGCCCTAAAAGGGGATTGAATGACTTTTCTTACTCCACATTACGGTCAGTAATCCTTTAAAACCTTAACAGGTAGGCATTGCAGCACATATTTTAAGAGGAAACGCAGATAAGTTAACACAATTAGAAAATGAAGTAAATTTTAAAACAAATTGCATTTGGATGGAGGACACGCTCTTCATTGTGCATTGTGTCTGTTAAATTTTTCATATATTAATTTGTTTCCTCATTTGTTCTTCAAGTCCTTTGGGGCAATCGTTTTACACTTTTTTGGGCCCCTAGAGCAAAAATAATTTTAGTATTCTGTCTGTCTGTCTGTTTTTTTTCAATTAAGCTTGACACTCACTAAATTAACATTGACCGCAGCTCGTTTCTTTTTCCTGTTTTTCATTTAATGTTTGATAAAAGTGCATTAATTGCACTTACAAAGCAAAGCGTCAACGGTTACCCTTATGAACACCGCTTTAATTATCTTCAAATGTTTAAATTTGCTTCACTTATGCACACCTGTCAGCATATGGATGTTTGGTTTAGTGAATTTTAAGGTCATCACATTGTTAATGGAATAAACAATTAAGTGTATGTTCTCTGAACGAGAGGTAATGCAATGTTAAATGAAACAATTTGCAAAGTTAATGTACCGTTAGTTAGGTAAAGAAGAAATGAACACATATATCAAAAACGGGAGATGTTGCGAACAGATTTAAAGTTGCGAGGTAGCACAAAATCATCGCATTTGTCAATTTATAGCAAAGTAAAGGAAATTTTACAGGTAACCGAATAAAAATTCAAATTTTATCCGACGTTAAAGAAGAAGAGAGGAAGATAAGAATTTCGAATTTGCGGTGGGAAAATACATGTAATCCGCGATCGAACAACGTACACTAACGGAAATCTTAACCTTCTCCACAGAGTGTTATGAGAGTCTTACACGAAACATTTATGCAAAGCTCGTTGATCTGCTGCTGGTAAAAGTTTAGAAAGACGGTTATTTGCATCAAAGGGTGATTAAAAAGGTGCAGAACATATATTTTTTACGTTTGTAAACAAATAGTTAAGCTCAAGAAAATAATTGAAAATTGATTCAAAGAAATCAATCAATATCTTCAGAAATCAAATTCTTGGCTTTTGTGTTAGATTAAATCTTAACTCTTGACATATCTTTCAATTTAATAAAACTCATGCCATGTCGTCATCATCAATTATTTCTTCGTTAATTATTTTTCGAATAAAATTTGATATTTTTAACAATTTTCACAACACGATTGATGCAAAATTCACTGAAGTAATTTTCTTTATCTTTATGTTAACTGTAGATAGTTTTATTCTCCAATTCACCGACTCCAAGTAGCCAAGGGAACATATACACATATACGCGAGATTGTCTTTTGCACCAAATTATTTTACATAAGCAAGTTGCTGTAAATTTTAATGCAGTTGCACTGACATGCTGCCCGCACCGCTAGGATGATAAGGATTGGTTTTCTAAATCACAGTAACAGATGCGGACGAGAAACTTTTGACAATCCTTCTTTTCAGATTGCTTTTAAATAAACACCATTTTTTTTAATAAGTTTATGTTTTCTATTTTTTTTTTTTTTTTTGTTTCTTTAATTTGAAACTTTTTTAATTTTTCTTCACGTCATTTCTTTTCCTTTTTTGTGAACAATTCCTTTTTGTTGCTTGACTCTTATTACGGAGTGATAGTTACATAATAAACGATTTTTCTTATTCGCATTACCCGGCAATATGGTTCGCTGAGTCCCTAAGACATTGAATCATGATTGCAAAAAATTTATTGGTTCCGTTATATATCACGTAGATAATTAAGAATTTTAACACCATTTTTTCACATAACCGACTATTATATGTAGGCGCGGCAATTGGTGGGTTGTAACGATTTCAGGATGAGGAGATGACGCAGGGAGAGCGTTCAAATTTTAGGCAGAAATTTAGACAGAACTCGAAATTATCCTTTACTGAAAAAATTCAAAAAAAAAGTATTTCTGCAGCGGGCACGTCTTACTTTGCACGAAAGCATAACCTTCAAACCGTTGAAAGCTGTACGTGTGTATAAGAAATATGTTGACGAATTTTTTTTTGGCGAAATATTTGCTTAAAGGGTTACATGTTGAGGGTCAGGTTGAGCATATGCTTGGAAATACGAGAAAGAGAGAAAACAAAATAAATAAAACTGTATGAAATGTACACACTCTTGACCAACTTGAATTTCACTTACATCCGTTTGTCTTCCATTTCCGTCGCTTTGTCATTTGCCGTTTGTCGTTAGAAATGAAAAATGACTATTTGCATCTTGATTGAGCTCTCGCTGTAAACTATATTTGATAGGTACGAGCTGTTCTCTATATTTATATCCCTCTGTTTCCCCTGTTTAACCCCCTTTTGCCATTTGCTAGCTGCAAAAGCCTGAAAGCTGATAATTGAATATTTTCTATATGATTTTGTGTTAACTCAACTAATCGAAGCTACTGTCTAACCCACAAACATCCTAAGAACCTAACGGAAAGGGAAACAATTTTAAATAATGCTTTTAAAAATTTACGAATTGAATGCAGGGTGGTCAAGACATTCAAATTCAGGCGAACTAGCAATTATTAAAAATAAGTTGCGAGTTTACATACGCGGTAAGTGATGAAACTTCACCCTGAAGCAAGTAAAAGTTTTCTACTTCTTTTTTATTAAGCTTGTTCGGCATATTTTTTAAAGAGCTTTAGTTATTTGTTTGATCCGACATAATTATTAATTGCGTTACATGTCATTAATTATTAATTACATTATGACGCAGTCCGCTTTCAGTTTCCCATTTTTTGTAACGTTTTCTGATTTTATTATTTGTTATTTTGTTATCCATCAACTTTATAACATGCATTATGTACATTAATGACATTTTGCTCATTTAATTTTTTTTTTAATTTTTAATTTATCAATTTTTTTTTTTTTTTGCACATAAAACTTCACTAATTAGCTTATCATTCCCGGCAAGTGAAAAAAATTCCTTTTTGTTGATTACATTAATCCAGTCAGACATGCCTTTGCATATGTATGTACAAGCACCAACGTATCGATTTAATATTAATGTTCAACTTTAATTCCATTCAGCGCTTTTTGTTTTTCTTTTTTAGCATTTACTTTGCAGTTTTATTTGTTACATTTTTTTATTGCCGCTACCATATCTTGAGCATTTATTCGTATTGTAATTGCAAGCATTTTACAGGCAGTTGTGCTCTTTGGTATCATATTTTATAATAACCGTAAACAGTAAAAGTTAAACTGCGCTCAGACACGGCGCGTATTCTTGTACGTTTCAAAACATACTGCTCGGAATGCTGGAGACAGTATTTCTGTTTGGATGCTGTTTGACTATTATACAATTGCTCTTATTTTCCTTTTCTTTTTAACACATCATGTGCTAACATTTCTATGGTAACCTTATGCGTGCAATGATTTCATATTTTAACATAAGGAAACTCTCTTTTCGTTCGTCGTTAGAACCTCTAAAAGCCAACAGAAATGCAGTTTTTCTCTTAAAGTGCTTTCTTAGTTTTATGTGAAACTATCGATATGTAGGTCAGGGGAGTACAGTTAATATTAGTTTAGCACTGTTGCGAACCAACGTTTATGTTAACTTAACAGCAAAAGACCGGTAAAATTTATTGTGCCAGTGAAAGAGAAATTCTTTCTTATAAAAAATTGCTAATGTTCTCTTACGTTGATAAATTTCATATTTTTATAGGAGAACTTAAAATTAAATTAAGTTATCAAACGCTGCGCGTTTGTTTCCATTGACAATTTTGATGAGTTTCGTAAAAAACTATCCAATGCTTTTAAATGTAAGGCAAATAAATACCTTTGTACTCATTGGGATAAGCTTTAAAGGATTATGTCTTTATAAAACGCAACGTACAAAAAGACAAATTTATACTACAGTCTGCTTAGACGAGGAACGTGATAAAGGCACCTTGATACTTAGCTAAATGGTACGCATATCGATCCAAAAATGTATGGGAGCCGGCTCTTGAGGTTTTAAGAAAAGAAAAAGAAAGGTGCAAGTGTGTAGACGCCATATGAGTAGACTTGTTATTACCGTCTGCCTATTAGTAACGTTACAGGCTTTTAAATTATTAAATAGCAGATAGATTGCTGTCATTAATAATTCATTTTTTAATATTGCCACGCCTAACTCTTATAAAAAGTAAATATTTTCGTTGCATAGCGATAGCAAGAGCACCAGCAACACAAATGTTTTTTTTTTTTTTTTTTTTTTTTTTTGTGGAAACAGCGCCGTTTTCTATCGCTAATTAAACATTTAATATTTAGAGCAGACCATCAAACTTCTCGTATGGAAGTCTAATATAAGTAAGAGTAATACGGCTGTCTCCCGATGCATATGTATTTAAACGTCAGTTTGAAAAGAATGGTCTGTCGTTGGTTAGTGATTCATTTATTGTCTTTAATTTGAAATATTTTGTAATGTCGTCTTATCATGTCTACTGCGACAGCTATAATTTCTGTCAAATGTATGTAATGCGTAAACTTATGCATTGGAGGCCGTCTCAATCATATCTATTTCTTATTGTAAAGTAAGTGTATGAATATATTCCTGAAAGAAGTGCAACTTAGTTTCAATGCGTTTTGCGTACCTCGCAAACTCCCTAAATCGGCCGCCGTATAATTCTCGGCTAATTGTGAACATATTGATGGAGTGGGACTAATTTTTCTTTTCTTCTTTTTCTTCATATCGTAATCATATTTAAAAGTGGACTAAGGCGGATTAACCATCAGCCATCCCTCCGACCATCAGCCAAAAGATTGCCGTAAGTTTTCCCTTTTCTGCTACAAGAAATCTGATGCATGCAGTTGGCAGACTGATACGTGATTTTAAAATATGTTGACAATATACTTTATGCAATTGATGACACGTTTTGCTGATATAACAAATCTAATCCACGCCTCTTTCGGATCGTCCGCATCGTCCGTTTTTATTCCTTCTTGTAATTTCATTTTTGTGCATCTATCTACTTACTCCCACAGTGAGAATACGATTTATACAAATTCAAAAAAGTTCAAGCCAAAGGATATTTTGTTGCTTGTCTTATATTCAATTTCTTTTTCATAACACACTCGATGTTATCTTCGTTTCCACTCCTCAATTTATAGACCGACTTTCATTTTTCATAATTTTGCTTTCTTTACTTTGTGATGAAGAAATATTAGGTTTTTTTTTTGAAATTATTATTGCTTTTCTATAACAGTCAAGTCATATATATATATTTTTTATTTAAATCAACTGGGATAATTCTTCATAACCAATTCTGAGTTTTTCAGATGAGGGCTAACATTATTTGCTCTTATTTTCAATTAGTCTGTTACGCGACCTAAGAGCAAACAGCAAACATTAACAGAGATACAAAAATTATTCTCTTAGTCATTTCAAACAATGCAACATTATTCTGTTGTTCAGACTTATTTTTTCCTTTTCTCGACTTAAACGTAAGAAAACAAAGCAATGTAAATTCAATTATGAAGGTCGTTTGTTGAAAAGAAAAACGATAGACGATTTTTAACATGAAAAGTGGGGTAAGCAACGTTATTCAAAATCAAAAAAATATATAAAATATATATATACAGAAAAATATTATTATTATTATTATTATTATTTTAATTTTAGACTAATGAAATGAATTCTTAGACTAAAAAAAAGACATTGAGCACTAGCAACACAGGCTATCGGCTCCCGGAAAAATAGAAAGTGTGAGGATAATGAGCTTTCATCGCAACTTTTTTTTTTATATTTTCGTGCAGACGTAACTAACCTCTGCCTTCATTTGAACAAATATTTTTCCAAAGCTGCGAAGCCCTTTTATTTACACATTTACATTTTTTTGTGCCGCCCACCGTCAGGAAGGAAATGTCCCGGCTTAAACTGCAGATATTCTCCTCATGTGTATTATTACCGGCTTGAATCTTTTGTCAACGCGAAACTTTCTTTCGTGTAACACGTTTGTGTTTGCCCACGAATATCTGTCCACTATCTATAGCCAGACTTAGTTAAACCAAGTCTCTCTTTTTTGTTCACGATAACATGGATTTCGCAGCAGTCACTAATTGGAACATAATTTTAAATATTCAAGGAACCTATATGCGTCCCAGCCGAATGTAAGGTGCACGTTGTATCCAATAAATTCATTACTGTATTCATCGCACCTTTTTTGTTGACCCTTCCAGATATTTACAACTATCTTCAAGTCAACGTTTAGCTTTTTCTTGTGCTTAGATCGAAAGAGCTAAAATAATATATTCCCTGATTTAATTGTGAAGATTAAAAGGCATTCTTAACGACAGAGGAGAACTTTGTCTCAGAACAGAACTTTAACACTAGAACTACCGAGTACGTTAATTTGATCCAGTTACATTTGTGTTTTTTTTAGGATGGTTACGTCCGCTTGTTCAGTCCCTTCTCTATCGTGGCGTTTCTTAGGGCAGTTCACACTAATTTTCAAATAGTCACTTTCTCAACCAGTTGTCTTCACTTCTACGGTTGCAGCAAGTCCACAAAGAAGCGATTCAAATTGAAGGACGTAGAAAATGTCGGTACATCTAGGGTTAAAGCTGATGATGTCTACTTATTGCCCCCCACACCTACACACAATCAGCGGAACAAGATACATTAATTTCGCGCGTGCGTACGCAACACCAAGAAGGACTCTACTTAACTGGTCTCTCTCTTTGGCTGCTGTATTACGCCTACAGGTCACAGTTTCAAACTATTTCAAACTATAGCGATATTTAAAATGTTTGTGATCGGACGGCTTTTATGACCAGACATATCAGGCATACAAAGACGTCCCCGAGCAACAATTAGTGTGAAAAGTTTGCATCGAATGCGCCAACGTTTTGAACCCTCCTCTCATATAGCCGAAATTAACTGTATCGAATTCGGATCGCGGGAGCCTTTCTTTGAGCTCATACCACATAACAATTCTAATAAAAAGCAAGTCTTTGCATCGCACCAATGTTCAACTTTTTGTACTTTATATTTCATAATCATATAAGTGGAGGGTAAAACCAACTTTGATAAAAACTGAAAACTTGATTTTTTTAATTTGAACAATATTAATATAAACGAAAGAAAAACAAAGTAAGCGAAAAGAGTAGAAAATTGCATTTAACGAGATGGTACAGGCTATTAAAGGGCCCGGAGCTCACATGTCTCGACTATTATGCTTTTATTTGTTGCGTAATAGTAAATGTTTCCATTTGAATAAATTTTTTTTTCTGAGAAAATCGTTTCTTTTAGTTTTGCTCCTTTTTTTTAAATGGTTGAGATATTGATATTTCAAGGTAAGTGTCAATAGCACTTCTTTTCTTAACAGCACTTTTATCTGCTCTCTTTTTCGTCTGTTTCCTCCCATATGCGTACGTGCTGTTAGAAATGCATGCACCATTTCTAGAGGGGGTCAAGTGTAATTTAGATTTTGACTCGTTTGTGTGCATTTCATTCATTCATTTTTTTATTAAAATGTAGTGAATCAAAAACAGCGAAAACATGCAAAAAAAGAAGACATCATAAATGTACATATCTACATATATGTATGAGCCATGTTCGTAAAAACGCTTATGAATGCCACTGACAGTCTTTTGAAATATTTTCGGTTTGTGTTTTTTAATTAACACAGCATCCATGGATCATACTATAGCACGTTACCAAAGTGTAAACTCTTACGAGTTTAAAACACTTGAGTCGATCTCGGTCATTAAAATTAAAAAATTGTTACAATAGAAAAAATTAATTTTTTTCTATACGTGTATTTAGCTTTTAATACTAGAACTCTTAGTCTTAGCTTTAGAATAGATTAAAAAAAATATATGTATAACAGGACTTACATACAGAAAGTTGATGAAGGTGTTTATTCAAATCAGAAAAGCACTCACCCGTAAATAGAAAAGAAAATAATAGAATTTACTAAAATAAATTAAATTGATTTTCGGTTATAAAATTGCTCCTTAGAAGCACTAAGCAAATGTAGGAAACACTAAGGAGACGAAGTTTGCATTATAAATTTATGTCCTTACGCTCATAAAAGTGGCATTTGTAGTCCGCTTCTGATCTTAGAAAATAAATCTGCGTTTTCTTTCGGCAAAATAAGTTTGTTGGGCCCTTGGTTCGTAGAAATGCAAGTAAAAATGGAAAACATATCATCTGTCTTATGATATTAACGGAGAACATACGAAAATTGTGTGCCACTATGGAAGCATATCGGAACAACATAAAAAATATCACGCGCACATGCCTCAGTTGAACTGAGAGACAGATAGAGCAAAAACCTGCCGCGAATCTTACGCTGATTAGGCGCTATAGAAAATACGGCAAAAAGTATTGATGTTTGTATGTTTGCCGGTGAACGGTGTTGGACGCGAAAGAACATAAAAGCACAAGAGAAAGTTATTCCCAAAACCTTTTAATTGCCGCCAACATGTAAACCATTTCGAGCGGTAAGAGGTTAAAGAGGCATATGTAATGAAAATTATTGCTTGTGGCTTACGAAATTAATGACATACGTAATGAAAGTAGAAAAATTAAGTGACTTTAGTAAGAAATATGAAAATTTATCGTTAGGCACATATTAAATTTAATCCTTGTAGAAAGATCTCCTTCTGGGATTAGAGTACATTAACCTATAGAAGAATACGGTAACAAGAGGTGATTCAAAAATGCCTCAATTTTTTAACGAAACAAGAAAAGTGAAGCAAAGCATCGTCTTATCTTCTAAATTTACTCTGGCGGTCTGTACACATTCGACGGTGCTCGCCTTGCCGTCTAATGTAAGTCCCATAATTAAGTTGCTGGAGTGAATGTGGAATTTTTAAATTCTTAAACTACTTCTGATCTTCTGACGGCAATCGTATCTGTGAAAGCCTTTTATTAAGAAATGATATTAAATATGATAGGCAATATAGTTATGCAATAGTATAGCAATACACGACCATTTGAATGTTTAAAATTACTTTTTAATATTTCAAGCATCATGTATATATGTACTAAGCTGCAATTTTCGTTCCTTTCACTCGACTTTATTACAATATCTTTAAACTGACATTCTATAGTGAAAGTGGTAAGC